TTCTCTATTTAATTTTTTATTTATTTATAAATTTTAAGCTTTATCTTCAATGCTTTAAGCTATATTTTCGTTTTTACTCATCTTGTAAGCTTATTTTCGTCCTATAATGCGCACTCCACTTCTTTACATAATTTATGTTCTTCTTAATATATTTTTTAGCTATACATTTACTACATATCTAATTACATTTTCACTCTAACATCTCATTATATATTCTCTTTAATATATTTTTTATTACGTTTCAACTGATAGAATATAAATGTAAATTAAAGACAAAATTAATAAATAAAACATGCGTATACATAACGGAAAAATTCCAAATTAAAAAAAATATATATATATTTTTTTTTAAATAAATAAACTTAATAAATAAATCCATTTATATTTTATCGAATTTTTAATAAATTCTACTTTATATAAAATAAATGAATAAAATAAAGTTAAACGAATTTAGTAAATTTGTTATAAACAAAAGTCGATTTAATTTTTGAATCCATTTAAATTAAAGAAAAATTCCTATCGACAGGATAATCACAATGACAAAGAAATGAGCGAGAACAAATGTCTAGAATTTACCTAATCACATTACCAGTGCAGAAATCTTTTCTTACTTTAAAGAAGAACGAATGAATGAGGAACGTGTTTTGAAGTGAAATGTGGCTAATTGAACTACAATAACCGAAAAAGTAACTTGTAGAATTACAGAAAATCCTAAGATGATTATTGAGAATGAAGAAAAATAGAAAAATGGGAATTGAGGGAAAGAAGGGAAAGAGAATTAAAATAAAATAAAAAAAAAGTGAAAGTAAAATTAAGACACGTGGTCTTAATCTATTTAAGAAAGGAATTAGAAATTTTTCGACTTAACATTTTCATTAAAGTAAATGTTACATGTCTTACGTATTATCTCAATTTAAATTATTTATTAAAGTATTTGAATTTTATATATATTAAATTACTTACTAAATGTTTCATACATATACATATATATATATATATAAATTTACTTCAAAGAAATAAAATTTCTCTTTTAATCAGTACAATTTTTTAATAAAAAATTCTTGTAATTTTTATAATATTACTTCTACGAATTGGAGTTAAAATTATTTCTAGGAAAGAAAAGAAAAGAATAAAATAATTTTTTTAACATTATTTTTTCGTGTTATAATCTATAATCGACTTATATTATTCTCAATAATGTCTGGAATGCGAATCTCCCAATGATTTTTTTTCTGATGAACTCTTTTATTACTGAATATTTAATATTAAATAATTTATAAATTTATTATAATATTTAAAAAAATCGAATTTTATACTATTCGTATTATAAATTCAAATAATATTTTATTAAACTTCAAAAACTGTACATATAACTACATTACGTTCAAAAATTAAAACCTTAAAATATTTATAATTTACTAAATTTTAAGCATATTATTTAGAAAATTATAAAGTTATATTCCTTATAATATGTATTTTCGTATATATTAGTGTAAAAGAAAAAAAAAGAAAGCCTAAAATTTAAAATATAAACATTAAAACGATGAAGTTTCATGCTCATATCCACGTTTCATCAATTAAAATAAAATTCGCTGCCGTATAACTACTTTAAAATATAATATAAAAGCAAAACTTTTTACGTGTACAGTTTATAATATTCTATATATATATATATATAGTTTTTTTTTAAAGAAAAAAGTTTGGAACATATTACACATTAAAGTCTTTTTCAGAATATTTTTTTAAAAATTTCGATAGGATCGTTACTGAATAACCTCTCTGGATACATTCCATTTGTTAGTAAGGATAGAACAAGCTGTATTCTGTACTTCCCAGAAGAGATACTCTAGGGTGCCTTGCGAGAATAGTTGCACGACCAACTCGCAACTATTTCAAGTCATCTTTTTGCAATTGCTTGAGTTTTATTGGTTGCGAGAAAAAGTTAGATTCTTTTGCCTTTTATGACAGTCTTAGATTAGATTGGTTGCAAGTTGCCTATTGTACATTTTTTATTTTTATTATATGTATATATATATATATATAAATATATATATTTCTTTGCTCTCAAAGTTGTAAAATATTACAATAAAAAATGAGTTATTGCATTTATTTCATCAGGGTTTTTGTAATTTTGCGTTTAACAGTATGCAATTTAAAGTGGGTTTCTGTGAAAATTTTTCAAAATAATGTCAATTAAAGTAGTCTTTTTTTTT